TCTGAACGTTAAAAAGTGGTTGAGACCAAAAAAAAATTTCCAGATGCTTAATAACTACAGTACTCAAAAGCATTCCCTAAGTTCTAACTTGAATTCCTCTTGCTGTGCTGTTGTCCTGTTCCCCGCCCAGAGAATAGGTAGGGCCCCCACCTGTGGGATGGCCCCCAGCCCACCCGATGCCACATCAGCCCCTACCAGCGGTTCTCAACATGTGGGTCGCGACCCCTGAAAATACATCCTGCATATCAGATATTTACATTAAGATTCATAACAGTAGCAAAATTACAGTTATGAAGTAGCAACGAAAATAATTTTATGGTTGGGGTCACCACAACATGAGAAACTGTATTAAAGTGTCACGGCATTAGGAAGGTTGAGAACCACTGCCGGGTCCAACAGGACCCCGCACCCCAGGTGCCAGGCAAACGTCTGTGGAATCCATATCGGTCAGCCTACCAGCAATGACAAGCTGGTGGCAGGACAGGGTGGCTGAGAAATAACTGAGGACAGACTAAGGGTGGCCCAGTTATCAACGGAAAAGTGTTACTTTAGCAGTTTTGCCAATTAAACCAAAGCAAGTCGGCTGAGTAAGGCCCCTACATCTGAGCTGTTTTTGGAGACACTTCATGATTCACACCCAAATCATACAAGATTAAAGAAAACACTGGATAAAATCAAGCCAAACATTAAGTTCAGGGGAAAGATCTTATTGGACAAATTAGTAAAATACTGGTATTGTGCTTCAGAGAAACCCACTTCTTTCCTCCAGCTGCAGGGGCGGAAACAGCCTCAGTGGCAGAGGGAGAGAGAATATGAGTTGTTTTAAGTGAGTTTGCTCCACCCTCTCACACTGGCCACCGCCCCGCACTCACAGCCAATGTGCTAACCAGTGGCCTCGGCCAGAACTGAGGGGAACGTGCATCTATAATAAGGATTCTGTTATATGGCTGGGCTCTGGAGAAGGCGCATCAGGTTGGAATGAGGCTTCCTTGCCTGAATCCTCAGCTAGCCGAGGGAGCTGCTGGCCACTGGTTGTCCCCAGCCACATGTGAGGGTTCTGACCAAGTGGATCACGCTTGGTGCAGACCCCAGGTTTCAAGGGGAAGCTCACAAATGACATTATCCAAATGACCAAAAGTGAGAAACAGTGAAAACAGTGGGTTTGGAGGATGCCTGCCTTCATTCACTTCCCGGGACCCTACTGTGTGCTGGTGGTGAGGGACAGAGAAGGGAAAACTTCCAGCTTTTGTTGTTCAGGTGAACAAAAAACAGAGACGAACCAATGACTTGTATAGGCCAAAGCTGGGAGTATTCCATCCTTGTCGCTTGGCTCTTACCATCATTTCCTCTTACTGCAGCTTCTAGTGCTATCCCTGTTGCTACTTTAAAAACCACAGCAACCACACTTTGGTTTCCTAACAAGATAGGCTCAAATAGAACCTTATAGTATAGTTGCTGTCTGTCTTCTAGACAAGAGTTGGCCAAGAAAACTGAGAATGTGTGTGTGTGCGCACGTGCGTGCACGCGCCTGTGTGAGAGAGAGACAGGAAAGACAGAGAGAGACTGAGAGGGGATCGACAGACACACAGGCACAGACAGGCTTACCTGAGGTTTCCCAGAGTTGAAGGCAGACAGAAACGAGGATTGAATCACTGCATGATTTCAGGACTCTGTATCTGTCTGGGTGAGTGTATCTGTGTCCACAATCCCTAACCAATCTATAATAATAAAAGTGCAATATGCAAATTGCGAATGACCAAAGAGCAGAATGACCATCCAGACGATCGTCCGGATGACCACGCTATGACATGCACTGGCGCCAGGCCAGCCAAGGTGGATGGGATGCTATTGGTCGGGGGGCCCCACCATTGCCCCCACGATCACCCTGGCAGAGGGAGGCCCAGGCCACCCTCTGTGGGGCAATTGATCAGTCGGGGGGAGGAGGGGAGGGGAGAGCCTCCATGATCGACTGCCCCAAAGAGGGAGGCCCAGGCTACCCATCCGGCAGCGCTGCAACAGGTGGGAAATATCTCCCTCTGCAGGGTGATTGATAGCAGGGCTCCCAGACTGTGAGAGGGCGCAGGCTTGACTGAGGGACACCTCTCTCCAGTGCACAAATTTTGTGCACCAGCCCTCTAGTGTTTACCATAATAATCTGAACCAAACGAATAATCAAAAAGTGTTCTTTAGATCCCCCTTAAGCATCCACCACCACCATGTCCACCCAAACTATTTTATGACACCTGAGCTCAGATCCATAGAGCCAAAAACACACACACAGGTGCCAGGTTAACCACCACTGTCCCCACCATGTCCTGGGCCTGCTTTGTTACACAGAGCTCTTGGCTGGCATTATCTCATTTACTTTGACAACCAAGCGGAGATACATCACTATGGTTATGACAGGAGTGTAAGAGAAACAGATCCTTAGAGAGGTGTGTGACTTGCCCAAGGTTGCACAGCTGGGATGTGGCAGGACTAGGAGTCAAGGGCAACGTCTGTGTTGCTGAAGTTCCTTCCACTCCCCTGCTCTCTCTTTCCCTGGAGGAAAATGCAAACCTTGAGGCACAGTCAATGTCCATATATGGACCCCATTCATATGGGCACGCTCATGGAATCCTCTAAGCCTCCTCTAAAGAGCTCATGGCCTTGGGGTCAGAGACAGAGAAGCTGCCTGGCCATTCCTTAGGTCCTTATCACAGGTCAACTGCAATATGGTTCATCGGGTTTAGATGATCACAAGTGAGATTGGGCAACTGGGTGGGCCACCCCATTGATGGGAACTTGACCCTGGTGACCACTTTTGGTGAAACCATTCAGTACACTGTTTCAACAGTGAGGAGAGCAGAAATGGTTTGTATTTGCACTGTTAGGATGAGATTGGCGCTGGCTGGTTGGCCTGATTTCTGAGAGCCCTTCCACAGCTCTCAAAAGAGCATCACTGGACTGTTTGCAAACAGACCCTTTGCTGCACGACCAGAGGATGTAAACGAGCAGAAAGACCTGTGGCTGACTGTGCAGATGGGAGCCGCTCATCCCTGTTGCCGCAGAGAGAGCGAAAGTGCCTCGGTGACTTCTGACATCTGGTTCCATTCCGTCCCTTCTTTAAAAGCTGATAAATAGGAAGCTAATTCACTCACTGGCAGAAGATCCAGGTTTGATTGTTTCATTTACTCGGTTCCACTCCCACTTGGAATAAATAAGCACTAGGAGCCAGACTGAGCCGCACCAAACACACAACTCGTCCTGCTCCCCACAGACAATCCCAACCGGGCAGCTCGGAAATGGGCAACGTGCTAAGCTTTTAGACCTAAATGTTTCCAGACTTAAATATCCTTAGAAAGTTCGTATCTTTTTCAATCAAACTTTTCAATAGTTCGGAGTTACATTTGGAACTAGCTAACCAGTTAGCCCAATCTTTTTCTGATAAAAACATTGTGGAAATCAACTGTTATCGTAATTCCCGTCTTAACGCGTGCATATGGGATCCACATGACATGGCCGTGACTCCGTTAATACCGGGGCGATTAGAGCAAAGCCGGATGATGATGGAGGTCAAACATGAACTTTTCTAAACAACGAGTCAAGCGAGGAGCAGACTGGTCCCCACAAGGCTTCGCCAACAAACATTTGCATAGCAGGCATTGCCGCTCTTTGCTGATTTTGATGAAAAAGAATGAGAAGTCTGGGGAGAATGAGAAGTCTGGGTACATGTGAATATGTGGGTGTGTACACGTGGATTGCTATAGGAAACAACCTACACTTTCTTAACTTCCAAAAGCAGCATTTACTGTATTACTCTTTATACCTTTATAACATCTGTAAAATGAACTAAACACACAAACCAAAAGGGCTGCCTGTTTCCAACACATTCCAATTAGTGCAGAGATGGCAAAGACATGGCCCCCTCGCCATCGTTGCCCTCCATGCCCACAGGAGATGCTGCCAGGGGACCAGGGCCTCCTAGCCAGCAGTCTGGCTGCCCTTCAGGATCCTCCTCAACACGGGGCTCCAGGCAGCCTCCCCCAGGCAGCGGGGAGGACTGTGAACCCGTGATCTGTCCTGGATGTGGCCTAACCCCACTCATTGCAGAGAAAGTGAAAATGTTGCTGAAAGAAAATGGTCTACAGGTCGGGTCACCAACAATGCTACCAGATATGGCCTTGGCAGGAAATGGTGAAAATCTCAACTGTTTTATGGAAACGAAAAAGGTGTTGTTGAATCCCTTCAACACAGGAAGCACTGGGCTTAGGCAATGTAATTTGGGGGCAAGTCCTATGGTAATGAATTTCCAGGGATGCCGGGTCTAGTTTGTTGTATCAAATGAAACTTGCAACAAGTCAGTCTCGGGTTGAAGAGTCAGACCATTGGTTGTATAAAGGTACCCATTATGATGTGTTTCAAACAGTTCAGAGTTTAAAAAATCTCCATATATTCACAGCAGTGAAATCAATAAAGAAATGCACATAGATGTGTATGGATCCTATATAATAAAAGGCTAATATGCAAATGGAACGAACCGCGGAACAACCGGTCACTATGATGCATGCTGACCACCAGGGGGTAGACGCTCAGTGCAGGAGTTGCCCCCTGGTGGCCAGTACGCTCCCACAGGGGGAGCTCTGCTCAGCCAGAAGCTGAGCTCACTGCTGGCGAGCACAGCGGAGGTGGCGGGAGCCTCTCCCACCTCTGCTGCAGGCAGGTGGTAAGGAGCAAGGGATCCTGGACTGCAAGAGGGCACAGGCTGGGCTGAGGGACTCCCCCCTCACACCCAGTGCATGATTTCTGTGCACCGGGCCTCTAGTTTATATATACCAGCATGATAGTAACTGTATCTACCCGAAATTATTTATTTACTAACTGTGAAAACCACCTTTAGGAGATAATATTATCAATTGAGCTTTTAATGTGAACACCACTGCCAAGTGTCATCCCTGTAGCACTGAAGAAAACCTTTTAAATCATAAAAGGAGAAACACAGAAAGAAGTCTTTCTCTTACCAGTGGTCTGAGTTCTGGATGCGTCAGGATATATCCATTATTTGTGATTGCAAAGGCATAACCGTGAATCCCTAACTGTAAAAGGAAGCGAGAGAGAGAAACCTTCATTAGCTTGCTCCCCCGTGCATTCACAAAGCATAAAGCAGCCCGGCGTTTAGTAATTTACAGCTTAAACTTGGCATTCATAACCCTTATCAGCACAATATTTCATTAAAATGAACGTGAGGCGCTGATCCTTGACATTTGGTGGAAATGAAGACCTGTCACAGGAGAAGCTCAGCAAATAGCACAATTTAAAATGTCACATCCCCACGTTGGCATCAAGGCTTTACTTTGATTTATTTAAAACAAAAACAATTACATTTTTTTTTAAGTGGCTAATGTTGGTGGAAAGGCCTTTTGTCCAAGTGCACGGAATTTTATCACCCTGGGTGTCTTCTCTCTTCTGTGATAAGGAAAGAGGTGACCTCATTCTGATGCACATGTAGGCTGCCTGCAATTCCACACCCACAGGGGCCACCTCAAGCACGCACTCTCCTAGGCAGTCATTTTTTATAATTCTTCAAGGATAAAAGTGTCCCCCCACCCCCAGCCTGCAGAGGAGCCTGCCAACCCCTTTTACATCCCTTTGTCTTTAAATTGTGAGGCTGCCAAGCTTTTCCATGCATGCTTCCATCGACACAAAGCCTGGGTAATTTTCTATGCAGAGCCTCACTTAATTTATGTTTTCTGACTAAATGGGACTATGGGAAATAGTTTGAGAGCAATGAAATGTTTTATTAGCTTTAAAAAGTATGTAATCAAATTTAACACTGCACTTATTTAAATAATAATCCTGGCTTTTTGACAATATTTCTATTACACAGCTGACTGCACCCATTGGCTACAATAAATTTACCTACAAATCATTCATGTATTAAAATGGCCTCTGGCATAAAACCCATACTGATCTCTCTCTCTCTCTCTCTCTCTCTCTCTCTCTCTCTCTCTCTATCTCTCTCCCTCTCTCTCTCTCTGAAAAAAAAAATGAAATGTAACCCACTTTTCCCAGAGCAGTAAAAGGGAAGAAGGAAAAAAAATCCTACATTTTTTTCCGACGAGTTATTTCATAGTTCTGAACTCTCACTATTACTTTTCTTTAAAATCCTCTGCTGATCACGTTCTTGAATATAATACTATTAAACGATCCAGACAACAGAGTTTACAAACCAAGAATGACCCAGTCTGCTTCTTAGCTTATTGTCAAGGTAATGTGAAATTGACATCAGAGAATTTAACACTGGCAATTAAAAGTTTCCTTTGCATTAATTACATAAAGCAAATATGCATGTGGTAGTCAAGGGCAACAGGCATTTTCTCCTGGAGTTACCTTGCACAGCAAGTTTTAATTAGAATCTACTTGAGTCTAATGATAAAAGTATATTTCATTATGCTGAAAAAGATAAACCAGAGATTTCCTATCCTTTGAGATGTATATTGTCTCTTTCATCTTGTCTCTTGGAAAAATGTCAGATACAGTCAACACTGCATTAATTACCATTATTATGTCCCAGTTTAATACAGACCAGAGGGGTCAAAAGGGGCCAGGGGAGTCTAACTTTACCCATTAAAAGCAAAAGTGGTCTTTCGTTGGAAATTCGAACTCCAAATTAGCCCCAACAAATGATATTTTATAGTCAGCTAATATAGTCAGTGCCTTCTAATGTACATTCCTTCAGGAACTAATACTGAAAAGAAGATAGAACTCCTTGCATATGCTCCCTTAATACCCTCTACTTTTCCTGTATTGCACTTATCAAAATTATAATAATCAATTATTTGTGAGTTTGATTATACCTTATCAAGGCATCAGTCAGGGGCTTTGATGAGTTAATACCTATCTCCCTACAGGTTCCATGATGGCCAAGGTCATGCCATGTGGGTCAAAATACGCGGAGGGGTGGTTGGGACGGAGGGAAGGGGAGCACGGATACCAGGAAGAGTAAAAGGAGGCAGTGGGGGGACAATAAAACACATTGAATTGAGTGCAGATCCTACAAAGCTACGCGAAACTCTCTGCTCTCTCCCCTGGAATGAGGGGCTGAGCGGACCTCCCCACCCAATGTACTGCACTCACTGTGTAACGGCCACCTCTTCTTCCTTGTTGCCCATTTATGCCCTGGCCAACTAGAATCTGCCTCACCCACCAAGATGCCACCAGAACTCCTTTCCCCACAGTTGCCAATGGCGTCCTAATGACTAAACCTAGAGACAGCTCTCTCTCGAATCTTTCCGGTTGTGTTAGCCGACTGCCCCCTCTTCCTTCACTCTATTCCCTCAGCTTCCAGGGCCCATGCTCCCAGGCTTCCTCCTTCTCATCCTCCACCCATCGCTCAAGCACTCATATTCCCTAGTTTCTCTCCCAGCTGCGGCCCCTCCCCTCAGTGGCAGATCCACGTACTCAACTGTGTGTTGGCCATTTCTACCTGGATATCCCTCAGGCACTGCATAGACACCACACCCAGGGCATTGCAGTGCTCTCCCCCTTCCTGTGGTTTTTCCTGCCCTTCTCTCTCCAAGGTGGCACCACCACCCACCCCGATGCCCACATTAGAAATTAGAGCATCATCCTTAGGTTTGTTTCTCTCTTGCATCCCCAACTTCTTGATCCAAGTAATCACTAATTTTTATACCAGAAATTACCCACATTCAACTCTGCTTCCCCACGCTTCCACCCATGTAGATTTAATGTAATAGATTTCCACACTTGTCCTAATGGCTCTCCTGCCTCAAAGCTTGGCCCCAACCAAGTCCCCTCAAGACTGATCAAAGGTAACTCTGGCCCCTGTTGCTCCTCTTTGTAAAACCACTAAAGACCTCTCTTTGTGTAAGATGAAACCTGTGGGAGTGTCCATCAGGTCTCCCTGGGGTTTGGTCCCTACCTACCCACCCAGCCCAGCCTCCTTCCACTCATTGCCTCTCAGGGCACATGGCAGTGACAATAACCCCCTGTGGTTTTCTCTCCCTCCCAGACCTTTACTCACACAGTGCTAGTGGCCTGGAGCACTGCTCTGCCCCACGTCCCCCAGCTAATTCTCATCCACACTGTAAGCTCAGCCTCAGGATCATCATGGCCTATTAAAAGTCTCTCCTTCCCAGCCAGTATGCTCAGTGGTTGAGCGTCAACCCATGGACCACGAGGTCTCTGGTTTGATTCCCGGTCAGGGCACATGCCCAGGTTGTGGGCTTGATCCCCAGTGGGGGATATACAGGAGGCAACCAATAGATTCTTTCTCATCATTGATGTTTCTATCTCTCTTCCTCTCTGAAACCAACGATAAATAAATAATAATAAAATAAAAGTCTCTCCTGACCTTCCCCATTGTTTCCTCCTTTCCATACGATGTTTCCATAAAACCCTGAGAATTTCTCCATTGCTACCTTCACCCTTATGCATGAAACTACACCCTAATGCCCTCTACTTTTCCTGTATTGCACTTATCAAAATGACAATAATCAATTATTTGTGAGTTTGATCATATATTACCAAGGCATCAGTCAAGGGCTTTGATGATTTAATACCTGTCTCCCAATGCTAGCAAGTTCCCTTTCCTTCCTCTGCCCTGTTCCCGATAAGACAGCACCTCCCCATCAGAAGGGGCTCTTGGTGAGGAAGGAGCCATCCCACTCATCTGTGACTTCTGCAACCCCTGGTATTATGTCCTGCAGGTAGCAGGTACTCCAGTTAAGGTCTGTATCTTCTTTGAGATGTTCTTCACTTTTTACCCAAATATTATCTAATGCATCTTTAAAGTCTAAATGAACATTAATGTTAGAAAATGAGCTGAAAAGGCGAGGCTGACTTGTGATGGCAGGTGTATACTCCATCCTTCTCAAGGCTGTTCCTGAGGTCTTCCTGACATTCAGAAACGACCTGGTGAAAATCCTTCCCAGGGGAACAGCCTGGGAAAATAACATCAGAACGCTTTGCTGGTTGGTGGGCGACGCATGGCCATAACCTACTATAGATGTGCGAAGAGAAACTCGGAGGCCATCTCCAACGATGTTCTGTGGGTCAATCTCTCAGAAAACTGAAAGCTTATCATGTCACAATGTCCAACATTCGTTTTTGGCCACAAATCAATTTACTGATGAAATATGTAATATTTATTTCATCTGAAATAGAACCAGTGTTCCTGTGCAGTCCCGCGGAGTAACAGAACCCAGATAGGACACACGGGGTCCAGCACTTGGGGCTGCTCAGGGGGCCTCAGTCCTGAAGCCGCCCTCCTGGAGACCAGGGGCCTTGGTCCACAGCCGGGAAGGAGGTGCCTCCCTCCACGTGCAGGGCTTTGGCCTAATGAAGGGAACCCAATTATAAAACGGCTTGTTACCTTAACAGAGGCTGTGGTGTCTGGAAATTTTTGCCGGGGGGTCTGGAATTCTTAATAAAAATTATAGGAAGTCTGATTGCCTTGTGGGAAAATCTATGCAGCGAAGGGAAAAGAAAGAATTCTATCTTCGGGGAAAACCCCACAAGCCAAGCGCTGACTCATCTTTACAAGGTGTCGATCAGGACGGAAGGTGTGATCCGCACTCTGCTCCCCGCAGAGGCCTGTTCCACCCTGGCTGGGCCTGGCTGACACACACACTGTCTCCCAAGGTGTTTTGTGGGAACCAGAGGAGGAATGACTTAGGTGTAAGTATGTCCTACCTGTGTCTCCGATTCCCAGCCTATCCCCTGGGAAAGCAAAAAAACAGAAGTGCCCGTATGTCAGGCACCACTGGTTAATTCCTGGAGCTGACCTTCCTCTATACTCCTGCTACACTTTGTTTCATTCATCGTTTACTAGATGAGTTATGCTGAGAAAGTTATTTCAAGTTTCCTCAACTAAAAATGGGGCGAAGGTGCACCCACTCCATGGGAGCTTAATGAGGATTCAGTGGGAATCGTGCATGTAAAGAATTTTTACCATGCCACACAGTAGCAAGTTCAATAAACCTTTCATTGTTTTATTTTACTTTAGCCATTATTGTTCATATTATTTACTATTATTTGAACTATGATTATTATTATTGTCATTTATTGTTCTTAATGGCTTTAGGGTACTAGATAGTGGGAAAACCATGGCTTACTAGCCCTGAAGCTTGGCGAGATATTTCCATTTTCTGTGCCTCAGTTTCTTGAGCTGTAACATGAGGGTAACAGCAGTGTCTGCCTCTTATTAAGTGAGAACATGTGGTAAAGAGGGTAGCACCTTCCCCGGGAGAGGAAGCTTTGAGAAATAAACTCACAGGGTCATTGTTATCAGTTTCATATTATGTTCATAGTTTCTTGATTTGTTGGGCATGTATCAAGTCGTGGCCCTGAACTTGGGTTTCTACATCTTACAATATGAGATAAGAGGCTTGAGAATTGCTTGGAAACATTCTCTCAAGGTGGGATGCCCTTCCTTAAACAGTGAGCCAGAGATTCTGGGCATCTTTAGGGAACTCAAATCTCTCCCTCATCCTTTAGCTTTCAGTCTCTGGCGAGCTCCACCATTTCCAAGACTTGTTGATGTGGGTTTGGATCACTCAGACCCCCTAACCCCAACTGTAAGAGCTTTGATGGGGGTGAGGCTGGTTGTCGGGACCCCCGGGGGCAGTAGGAAGAAGGCCTCTGTCATCTCAGTCAGCCCAAGCAGGAGAGTTCTTTGGCTAAGGAGGCCACGTTTTGTGAGCCCGGACACCCGACTCTAGCTTAGAGTTCATTTCCTCTTTCCTGTGCAGGTGGCTCTCTAATTTGATCACTGAAATGGCATCAACATATGGGAAGAGAGCTGCCTTGTTTGTTCAAAGGAGCTTCCCTTTCTTGGGTTCCCTTTCTTGGACAACCCAAGAAAGGGAAGTGCTGGGAGAGCACTTCCCACCAGGAAGTGCTGGGAGAGCCAAAGCCTCTAGGGACTCTGGGAAGCCCTGGCTTAGAGGAGGGGTGCAGCATGGGCTTCTGGATGGTGATGATGGCACCGATGCCCAGAGCTGAGGGGAGCCCAGGGGCGGGGGTGCCCACCACTCCAGGATGAACAACCCCCATGGACCTCACTTCTCAGCCCTCCATCATGTTCCAATGGACTGTTTTGCTTTCTTAGGAAAAACAGAATGTAAGCAAGCTAATTTAGGGGGCATATGGGCCCAGGATTAAACTTACTAGCCAGAACCACTTAGTGAGTGTGAGCCCTTTTCCAATTCCTCCCATCCTTCCAATGATATAAAAAAAGTTTCATTTAGTGCTGCTTTAGCACTTGCCTTGACTACTGCCTTGAAAAGGCCAGACCTCAGGTTCAGAACCTTGGATTACTAAGCAATCACTTCATACTATTATTTTGTCTTCATAATTTTTTTTTTTTTTTACAATTGTCCTCTATAAATGGCTTTACTTTTTAAAGGGAGTTCCCTATTAAAATTGAGTTAAGTGAAGAAAGTTCTGAGTTGATTTACAAGTGACGGTTAAGTCAAGAATGGTACAGATGGTCAATGAGCATGGCAACACATTTCGAAGTGGTATGTGAATGGCTGAGATCTCCTCTCAGCACCGAGGTCAGAGGTCACACAGACCTGCCTGAGATCACGCCCACCACTTCCTGGCCCTGCACTCTGTGAACATTCCCCCTGTGAACCTGCATCTCCTATGAGTAGAATGGATCCAGGAGCACAGCCCTTACCTAAAGATTTGCTAAGGTGATGTGGGGAATGCACTTTGCACAGCATCGATTTCTCGGCCACTGTTACCTGCTAATATTGTACCAGGAGGCACCCTGTCTCATACCACAAAATAATGATTTTTTAACAGCCATTTTCTGCACTTCTCATTTTATATCCAATGCTCTGAAATGTGACCCGATCATTCTGGCTGCATCCATCCATGCAGGTGACTTGTTTGGACAAGAGTTTGCTGTGATGCCTAGTGACTGGCTGATCCACTCTCTTGCTCTTACCCCAACCCTCTGTCAAAAGGTGGGGCTGTGCTTGTCATCAAACTTAAGAATCCTGCCTGACACACATGACCTTGGATCATAAGCCTTTCCCAGGCCTTTCAAAATTCTTGTAAAAACTCATTTTTAAAGGTGGCCCAGGATCCCAGACTTGAGCTTTCTCTAGGGCAATGGTCGGCAAACTGCGCCTCGGCAAACCGTGGCTCGCGAGCCACATGCGGCTCTTTGGCCCCTTGAGTGTGGTTCTTCCACAAAATACCGACTTCTGCACATGGGCCACAAAGTTTCAATCTCACTGTATGTGCGCGCCCGCACGTGGTATTTTGTGGAACTGCCACACTCAAGGGCCAAAGAGCCACATGTGGCTCACAAGCCAGGGTTTGCCAAGCACGGCTCTAGGGCATTCTAAGTTAGCAAAGGTTTAGTGGACACGAAGCCCACACGTGCCTGAATCTGGGGTGGGAAAGCCATGAGCAGCTCCATGCAGGCAGCATCCCATGCGGAGAGGGCTGGGGTACCAGGTGCTGCCTGTCACAGCGGTCCCAAGGCCAGTGTGCCATGACTGTTTCTACGAGCAGGTCCTATTGTTATCACACTGGACAGAGAGGAGTTGGAGACCTGTCCACACGCAGCTCCTCAGCAGTGGAGGCAGGGCCCTGTGTGTGGCTACTCCAGAGCTCTACGCTGAGCAGAGAAGACCCAGGGGCCCCTCACAACTGTGATAAATCAGGCTCAGCAGGAAAGAGGTAGTAAGGAAGGGGGCCCTGCCGGCCAGCCAACTAGTCAACATTCCTGGATAAAACAGCTTGCTGTCCACATGGGGGGAAAGGGAGCCCCCCCCTGTTAGTCTATGAGAGGGCCTGAAATGAAGACAGGGGAGCCAGTCCGCTGGGTGCTGGGGAAGAGGAGGCAGGTATGGTCTCAACCCTGTGTAGTCAAGGAACCATGTCTGCTCAGTGAACATCCCTCTTAGGACCAGGAGCAGGGTCCTGTCTGCTCTGTCCCACCCTCCACGCTCACATGTAGTTCTGAATGGCTGTGATGGGGCTGAGGACCTTGCCTCTTCCCACCCTTTGCCTTGCTTTTCTGAGGAGCCCCCACCACTAGGCACCAGGTGAGAGCTTTCTGTGTGGGGCTCAAGGATCTGGGCCATCTTTTTAAAGGTGAGCCCAGCCATGTCACTCCCCTGGCTAACCTGTGTTTCAGAGACTAGAATGAGCACATCACCACTTGTGCTTCACATGTGATTGCCAGGCAGAGGCTAGAGGAGATAAGTAAGAGAAACAGTGAGTCTGTTTACATTTAAAAGGACCTGCCCAGTGGCTATGTGGACAGCATGAAGACAAGCAGAGTGTATGGTGATGAGTGCAGGGATGCAGTCTGGACAGCACCGCTCTAAAGGAAGGAGAATGTCAAGTCCGATGTGCCTCACTGGGTTTCTATTAAGAAGTAACAGATCTTAGAGGGTCCTCAGACTGGGTGAGTCAGGACTGGCTTAGGAGATGCCCAGAGAAGTTAGACCTATGGAGACCTGCATAGACTTGTGTAGATTTCTATAGGCCCACACAAGTCTGGGTGGGCATGCATAGATCTCCTCAGAGCAGAGCCCTCCAGAAAGAGAAAAGAAGGGCCTCTTTACTTTGTGCTTTAATAGTTACTATGTGAAACTGTCTTGAACATTTGGCCCTTGACTCTTAAATAAGTGATGTGTTACCTTGTATTTGGGGATGGTCTTCAGCAGTTCTTTCACTGGGACATCTGTGCCAACCACGCCTAGAAGAATGCCCTTCGATCTCTGTTGAGAAAACATTAAACAATAACAACATTAAGTTAATTTGGCAGAAGAACTATAACTTTCTGAGAAGCCACATGCCATAGGTCACTGTCAGGTACCTTCTCCAAAATGACAAAGATTGAGGATTTACCCAGGCGTCCAAGGGTAAACCCCTTCTATTCCCCATCCCCTACCCAAAATGTTACTAGATAAGCCTGGTAGCTTCTCAGGCCAAACATTAACAGCTATAACTCTCAACACACACTCATACCAAGACAACCTCCTTCTCTTCTCTCTCCTAAAAATGAAGAATTGATGTGCAGAAGCACTAAAGTTTCAGCAGCTAAGGCCTGTGATCATTAATCAGTTTCTCTTATGGAAGCTTTCTACAGGAAAGACTTATAGTGTGTTAACTGCTTTCTCAATTTACACTACCATCTGGTGCCCAGGAGAGAGAGACTCAATAGCCAGAGAAAGAAGAAATAACCCAAAGATTGTTGAGCAGGCAGTTGAAATCAAGAGCTAAAGTGAAGGAAGAGGCCTTTGGGGTCCCAGTTTCCAAGGTCACTGTGATGTGCTAAACTTTACATGTCAGAAACGCCTTCCGGGAGAAGACACAAATGGCTACTGCCCATTGTTTTCCTTAAGTCCAAGTTCACATAGAACCTCACACTGTGACCACATTTGGAAACAGGGTCTTAGCAGGTATAATCAGTTAAGGATCTCGAGGTGAAATCATCCTGGATTTAGGATGGGCCCTATATCCAATGGCCGGTGTCTTTCTAAGAAGAGGAAAGGACATGAGAGAAGAAGGCCATGTGAAGACTGAGGCAGAGGTTGAACTTGTGCTGCTGCAAAGCAAGGAAAGTCTGAGCCCAAGGAAGGATCTTTTCCTAGAGCCTTCAGAAAAAGCATGACACCCTGATTTTGGACTTCTAGCCTCCTAAATTGTAAGAATAAACTTCTTTGCTTTGAGCCACCCAATCGGTGGGACTTTGTTATCTCAGGCCTAGGAAGCTAATACAAGTTTGGCAACTTCAAATTGGAGAAGAGCCATCCACCATAATCAAGGAGTCTCTCTGGGGTTTTCCTTCCTCTGGTCATTTAACACATAAACGTTGTAAAAGTGCTGCACCCTGTAACATGGAGCCTGCTTGAATTCCTCCCATCTCTGCCTGATTTCATGATTCTAACAGCAGGATTAGATGTGAGGGAAAATGATAAACCCTCTGTCCTTAAAATAAATCAATAAATGAAGACCACCAGAGCTGGAGCCGGAGAGGTCTCAGAAACCAACCCTCCTGGCATCAAGCAGCTGTACTCACGGTTTCATTCTGCTTACTAAACACGGGCATGGCGACTGTGGTCATCAGGACAAGGCCCTGATCGTCGGCAAGCTGGATGGAGAGAGAAAAGCCAGTTACCTGAGACTGACCTGGAGGCTAAGGGCCGGAGCCATCTCCATGGCTAACCCTCCTCCATGGGCTAGGGGCGGCTGGGAGTGGACTTGCACTCACTCCAGCCTTCAGCCCAGGAGGAAGTGCAGAGCCAGGATTTGGATGAGGATCTGGGCCTCCAGCTGGGGAAACAAAGTCAGGCTTTCCAGCTGATCAGTTCACTGCATTAGGCCATTTAGGTTCAAATAAAGCCTTGTTGAGTCTTAGTGACTCATTTTATTGCATTAACACAGATTGATTTTTGAAATTTTACTTGGTAGACATTTATGTTCAATATGTGCAATGTTAATGCTTCTCTGTATTCTGGAAATTGAGGATCAGAAAGCATGAAGGTAAGGGGTTCTATACTTGGCCCTGTTGAAAAAAAGTGGAATCTGGAAGCATTTACTCTCCCCAACGTAGTTGAGTCAAGACCTTTTTGGACTTCTACAGATCTTTGCATGCCAGTCCCAGTTGAAAAGCACACAAATCAAAAACAGAAACAGCCCTAGCTGGTTTGCCTCGGTGAATAGAACGTCAGCCTGTGGACTGAAAGGTCCCAGGTTTGATTCCGGTCAAGGGCACATGCCTGGGTTGTGGGCTCTATCCCCAGTGTGGGGCATGCAGGCGGCAGCCAATCAATAATTCTCTCTCATCATTGATGTTTCTCTCTCTCCCTCTCCCTTCCTAAGAGCAATAAAAATATATTTAAAAAAAACCAACATAACTTGATCATCTGATCCCTGAAATCACTGCTAAGAAGCTAAACATTTCTCCTCTAGGAACAACCGTTGAAATGTGGCATAGAACACGCTTGTGTCATTGGGACAAACTCCTAATAGGAATAGAGGGGGCCATGTTTTTATTCGTTTTACAGTCATATCAAGATGGGCCTACATTCCCCCATAATAAGCAAGATGAGACAAAAGTCTCATGGTCCCTCAAAGACTGGGGATTCATGGTGTGATGGTTCATTTTATGCGCCAACGTGGCTAGGCCACAGTGCCGACTTGTTTGATCAAACACCAGTCTAGAGGTGGCTGTGAACCATCTTTTAGATGTGATGAACATTTAAATCAGTAGACTTTAAGAAAGCAGTTTACCCTCCATAATATGAGAATGTTTTCTTCATTCAGTTCAGAGTCTCAAGAGAAAATACAGATCCCTCAGGGAAGAAGGAATCCTGCTTCCAGACTGGCTTCGGACTCAAGACTGCAATACAAACCCTTCCTGGACTCCCAGCCCGGGAACCTACCCTGCAGGCTTCAGAAGTGTCAGCCCACAGTTGTGTGAGGCAGTTCCTTAAAAGAAATCTCTCTCTAAATACGTACAGAAAAATATATAGAACAATATACCTACAGAGTGTCCCAAAAATGTATACACACTTTTTTCTGATACTCAATATTTGTTTCTTTCTTTTCAGATGTAACCCATTGGAAATGCATTTTGGGGACACCCTATATGTGTCTCCTATGATTCTGTTTCTCTAGAGAACCCTTACTAATACACACGGTAATCATGTAGTCTATTATTTGGGGCAGCCTAATTTGGTTGTTAGAATAAGTAAACAAAGCATTATCATCATTCATACTAGTAACTAAATAAAATGAACTATGAGATGATGTTGGCAGTTATTATTGCCAGGAACCAGGTCAAACAGTTTGTGAAAAGTGGGTTCCAACCTCTTGCTAAAAGTAGAGTATAATACTGCTGTCGCTGAGGACACGCAAGGCCATTTTCGAAGGCAGAACCAACCCACAGTAAACATCTCTCAGAATCAGAAATCTTCCCATATCCCGACTCCTTAAATAATTCTTAATGCTGTTAAAAATTGATTTGAGTTGATTTATAATCCTGGGGACCTTCCACTTTGCAACTCATATAAAAATTTCAAGCAACGCTAACATATACCATGAATGAAATAAAAACATACCATTGGCAATAATGAGAAATGAAGCTTCTTCCCCCTGCAACCAGTAGAAATCAATTCTAAATCACTGCTCATTGTTCTGTTACAAACACAAGATCATGAGAACCTAACTTCCCAATATGAAGCCGCAAAACAGCGTCAACTCCACTCAGGGGTTAATTCCAAAGGTAATGACTGCATCATCATTACCTAGAAAGAAATCCCCATATTTTATCTGTACTGAAACCACTCATTTGTAACCAGCTCCAGGTAAACAGAGGAAATGCAGTGAGCTCAGTCTAGCCACTATGCTATGAGCTCACCTACTCCTCTCCTAAGGGCAGCTCTGGCCCAGGCTGGGACGGGGTTGGCAAGAGCCCTAACCTGGACCTCCCCAGTTTGTAAGCTCATCGGTGTGGCCACGACGGCTGGCTGGACCCTGGAAATATCACTTGCATGCTCTTCATGCTAATCTGAACCCATCAGCTCCTTCTTCCCCAGCCTCCACAGGTCTGGCGTTTGTGAATCTTAAACATTTCACGGAGCAGGAACATCAATTTGAAAATTAATTTGCACTGTAAATATTTTATGATCGAAAGGCATTCAGTACTCATGCCATAGGAAATAGAAGCCAGTGGCAAAAGTTTTTTTCCAGACCACCAAGCAGAAGTTATGCAGCCAACCACAGCCAGACACCCTCTGTCCCCAAACGCTAGGGGGTCCCTGCGTTTCTCTGGCCCCTTAACCTGTAGCAGCTGCTGAGGCAAGAGCTGCTTATGATTCATACGCGTGGCTTCCAAGAAAAACGCAGACGTAGAGTCAACATTCATTTTCCAAAGTGTAGGAATGGGAGAGGGGGGTCACCATGGTCCATCTCGGCAAAATCCCATTAACTCAAGTCCAAGTGGGAACCCTAAAATGAACTACCATTCAATTATACTTGCCCAGGCTTTGAACAGGCCTCCAGAATGCTTGGTTGTGGGGCTCTGTTGTATAATACGTGTATATTATTCCATAGCCTTCATTTCCTGTGCTACATAATGGGGACTGTTCTAGTATCAAAGGAAATGATGAATAATAATACCGAACACCTGGTTTATAAAACACAAGCTTGCTCAACAGATTGACTGCTTCCTGCTAGCTTCCCAAGTTAATCATGCATGTGGCCCATATGAATATGCATTTGGATTTATGTGCGAGGTACAGGCAGTGATGCCAGGTCTCTACTCCTCATGGTTTGCTTCCCATGGATGACACTACAGACAACTTTGGGTGTGGCCCCAGATAAAATGATGGAACCACAGTTGTGGTCTGTCAGTTTTGCCACCGGCCCAATTATTATTATTCATCGATTCCCTTGAGAAACATTCCCTGAGCATCAGCTATGTGCCAAGTCCCATGCCATGTGCTGGAAGTCAGCTAGGAATGAGACATAGGTCTTATCTTCAAGGAACCCAGGTCTGCCAGGGGAGACGAAGGCTAAGGAGGCAGAGGGCGAGGAGCTGGCTGGGGCGGGCACACGGGCTCTCACTGCATGAGCAGGGGAGCTAAAGTAAAACTGCCTGGCATTTACTGATACCTGTCAGGGATTCAGTGACAGATTCGTCCAGTCGTTTTGTACTTAAGATTACTTATGAATGAAAGAATATACGAAGACATTTTAAAAAACCGTCCAGCCCCTTTTTCCCATCTTTTGTAAATATCACCCCTTTCCTTTAGAGAACTCCTCTTCACCCCTTCCACCCACAGTTTCTCTTGGCAGCTAAGCTCTCCCATCCTGCTTATGACTGGGCATCAGACCCAGACTGAGCCAACCAGAGCACTACACACACACGCAAGCACGCACATGTATGCACACACATGCACATCCTCTCTAGGCCACATTGCTTGGTTTATTATTAGGCAATGATTCAAGGTGGGCTGCCTAGGTTTTTTTCTCTTTTTTTCCTACCTGGACTAATGGGAAATCTCTACTCCTCTTTGGGACAGTTATAAGAATGTGAGACTGTCAGCCATGCCCAACTCCCCTCCCCCACACAGCAGCCACTGAGCACACAAAGTCACCCCAGAGAGAGGAGGGAGGAGGAGAGATGAGTGGCGTGTGTGTGTGTGTGTGTGTGTGTGTGTGTGTGTGTGTTATGGGAGAAAAGGAAAGAGAGAGAGAGAGTAAGGCAGGAGAGAGAGAAAGAGAGTCCCAGTCCCTGGATGCCCTCCTTCCTAAGGTCAGCTCCCCCCATGCTTTTTGCTATGATGGGGTCATTTGAACCAGTACATTTTTTGTTTTGTTTTGCCCAAATGAGCATGGACTGGACTTGTGACTCATGATAGAAGAGGCCTGAGTTGTGCAAGTGCCAATATTGGCCATACATGACCCAGGTGGCTCTAGCTACCCGGGAGGTGGTCCTTCCCACAAGGCCGAAATGTAAGCACCCAGGGGACCCAGACACTGAATGGCAATAGACAGTCCTATGGAGAAGTAATGAATTTCTATGATGGTCTGCAAAACTATTGTCATTAGGATTTTGTGTAAAACATAATAATAAATGGAATTGTGCCTGTTTTGAGAAAAGCCTTAGCAAGAGGTCACAGAACCAACCAGTCTGCTTGGGGCGGCACCAGGACAGAGATGCTAGAACATGCGGGGAAAGGACAGACATCACCGGTGCCCAGCAGGCCCTTTAGATCAGGGCATCTGCTGTGGTGCCTTCCTCACATCTCCACTCAGAGAGAGCTGCCAGGGCCAGTGGCACAGCCCTTGGTTTGTCCTGCAGCTGCAGCCTCCTGAGAGTGAGTGCCAAACCCCAGAGAAAGGAGGGTGCCAGGCCTTGAGAAGGCATTTGAGCGAGTTAAGAGCTGCCAGGTGGTTTTCAGCGGAGCCTCCTGCCAGGTCTGCTCAGCCCTGAGGCCTGGGCTCAAAGAGAAGGCTGTGCACAAACCGGGAAGCAGCTCAGGAAGGGGCGGGCACTGAGCCAAGAACAAAGGCCAACTCAGGAACCCTCCTCAAATACCACATTCCTCCTGTGCTTGGCCCTCTTATGCGTCTATGTTTTCC